CGACTCTTAATCTTTGTCTGAATTTCAAAAATGTTCTTTGTCTACTCCCTTTTCTTCCTACGTCCTTTTCCTTTTCACTCCTCTCTTTTTTGGCCGGCGTTTTTTGGGGGACCACCCGACCGCCCCCCCCTCCCCCCTGGCTACGCGCCTGCGGTCAGATGAACATATGTTGATACCTTGTCTGCCCCGGAACTCAGGGGTTTAAGGCAATAATTTACGGTCAGATTAGCATTCAGGGGTCCGCCTTTGGGCCCTAGGCGGGTCCAGGGAGCAGAGCCCCGGAAGTTCAGGGGTTTTAGGAATTTTATTAAGGTCAGATGAGCATTGTTTTGATACCTAATTGTGACACTGGCAGGTCATTAATTGGCGTGGGGTTCAGGGGGCGGAGCCCCCGGAATCTCCAGAGTTTTAGGCACTCAATTACGGTCAGATGAGTATCAAGAGGCCCGCCCGTTAGGGCTCTTGGTTGGGGTCAGGGGGCAGAGCCCCCGGAAGCTCAGGGGTTTTAGGCGTTTAATTACTGTCAGATGAGCATCTAAGGGCCCACCTTAGGGCCCTAGGTGGAACCCAGGGGGCAGAGCCCTCGTGGTTTTAGGCATTTAATTTAATCATGGTCAGATGAGCATATTTTGATACCTCATTATAATGTGACACTGGCATTTAACTATTTTTTCTTTCTTGCTCTCTTTCTTTCTATTTCTCTTTAATATACTTTTTCAAAAAAAAGGTGGGGGGGGGGGGCTCGAGGATCCCGATCCCCGTCGTTCCGCGGGCCCTGACATGTAGGCATCTCAAGAAGCATTTTCTTGCCTGGCTATTTAGGAATTTGTCATTTTCCAACAAACGCATAAAAAAGTACAATTTACTTAAAAGTGAGGAAAAATTGGGGAAAATTATGTCATTTCTGCATTATTTGTAAACCACCGTTATGGAATTAGAAAAAAAAAACACGTTTGAATTTGATTTCCCCAAAGCCCCCCCCCCCTCCCCTATCAGTACGTCAGTGCCCCCCCCCCCCGATTTACACCTTGTTGACGAGAAAATTACAACTGATATCCCTTACCTTTCTTCATTCTCTGTTTGTTCTTTCCCTTTCTCTCCTCTTTCCCTTTCCCTTCCCTTCCTTCTCTCTCACTTAGGTTTACTGGGGGGGGGGGGGCAAGGTCATTTTGGCCCCCACTCCGCTCCACACATTGTTGACTGATCTCCCCTTCTTTTCTTCTTCCTCTTTTTTGTTCCCTTTTAGCTCTCCTCTTTTCCTTTTCCTTCCTTCTCTCTTTGTTTAGCGGGGACGGGGGGGGGGGGGGAGGCAAGGGCCTTTTGCCTCCCCTCGATCCACAACTTGTTGGCGGGAAAATTGCAACTGATATCCCCCTTCTTTTCTCTTTTTCTTCCTCTTTTTTCCTTCCCTTTATCTCCTATTTTCCTTTTTTCTTTCCCTTTCTTTCCTTCTCTTTTATTTTTTGATTGGAGGAGGAAGGTTGGTCCTTTTGCCCCCCCCCCGATCTCCTTCTTCCCTCTCTTCTTTTCTTCTTCCTCTTTTTTCCCCTTTCTCTCCTCTTTCCCTTTCCCTTCTTTTCCTTTTCTCTCTCTCCTTTTTTTTTTTTTTTTTTTTTTGCGGGGGGGGGGGGGGGGGGCCAAGGCCCGCTCGGCCCCCCCCCTGGATCCGCGCCTGACCGGGTGTGCGGAAATTGTGTGTCGGGAAGGGGAAGTGAGAGTGTTCGTGTGTGTGGTAATTGCATGTGTGTCAGATGGCTAATCATATATCTACAATGACGAGTAAACTGTCTACATCACAGTCCACAGATAAATATGTGTCTTGAACGTATAGCAGACGGCAATCGGCGGAGCAGACGACACTTGATAGTGATTTTGTATGTGAGATTGCTTTGCTAAATATAAACTACAAGACCCCTTTACATATCTTTAAACTATCATTGATATCTGATAATTAAACAGTTAGTAAAATAAACCTACCAAACTACATAATACAATGAAATACTTGACTGAAAGTAGGGGAGTTTGATATGGTGCACAATTGCACCCCTCTGTAAATAATCGAATAGTCCATGGTGTGTCATGAATATTCATGTTTTTGCTTACCTCGGCAAAATTGTTTGCCCGTACGGTGGGGGGGGGGGGGTTGGCTGAAGTGGACATAATGAACCAAGCAGAACTGATCTATGATAATTCATGCTTGTTATCCTTCGTGTGCCTAACCTATAATCTTACAATCGCGTGGTAAATTGCGTCCAAAGTTTGACTTATTACACATGCGTTATATATGCAATGGCGAGCTTGCGACCTATTTTGATCAATTTACGGTGGGTGAACTTTCAAAAGTCAATGGGACATGAGGGTTCCAATGAAAGAGCTAGTGTCAACGTACGTCGGGGTGGATGCTTTTCTTTTAAACAAAAAATGAATTTTTAACGATTTTTTGGGGTAAAAGTCCACATGCTAACACACGGTTAGGCTACTGGACTCTGACGATAGGGTGCGTTGTCAAATGAGACTCATCGGAGCTATTATGAACGATAGATAAAAAGTACTTTTCTCACTGCATGTTGTCGAATAAAAGGCGATGTCAACAATGTCAAAAAGAGTCGTCAGAAATAAATCTTGAAAAAATGCAAGACGTCTGGTCAGCAAGTCCACGGGTAGTGGTCCGGGGACGTAGTCGTTTAATCCTCGTTGGATAAAACTTTGACCGGCACGGTAAACTCAACACAGTAGCAACCTGCGTGTACCGACATAAAAAATCCCACTGATTTCCACATGGAAAATCATAACGAAGCCTCAACCACCACGTACTGCAGCGTGATTGGTTGAATTATAATTTGAAATACGCGTATACTCCAACATTCAATTCAATTTTAAATGAGGTTTTATTCAAGACTTATCAAAAAGTCCAAAGACTAAAAATGCAAGTTTATAATTATCAAACATACAATCATATAAAAAAAAAGCATTCAAAAACATATATATATATATATAAAGAAAACATAGCAAATGGGAAAAATATATACAAATGAATAAATGTTTACATCAAAGCAGTATAAAAACATGTCAGTATGCGCGCTATACGTAACAATGAAAAGTCTACATCATACTAGAATATAATTTTTTTTAAACAGATGCCGAGGGGCGAGGGGTGAGGGGGTGATAGCAGGATGTAACGTCCCACGGAGCCTAAAAAACAAATATGCCTCAAATATTAAAGCAGTCTGTATTTCTTTTATATACCGAATTCACACAAAAACCCGCAAAGAATTCTTACTTTATCCAGGGAGATGTCCCTGCTTTATCCTTTTCTTGAGTAAAGACTGGTTAAAACATCTCAGAAAATCTGAGACACTGTCTGTAAATCTCTGAATTTTACAATAATTCGGGAATCGCACACACACTGAACTGTATTTTGTATCCGCGCTCGCACAAAGAAACTGTTTACACGTTAACCAATGGGGATCTCACCAAAATCTTTCAAAATACTATTGACCGGTAGGTGGGCATGCGGGCATCTTTTAAAAGACTATTGATCGGTAGGCGGGCATGGCTAAAATCATGACTCCAATTTCGACCAATCAGATGGCTAGATTTCTAAAGAGAGGCATATAAAACCAGTTAGAACACGGTCTGCAAAGCCAGACAGCGGATCGGAGTGAAGTACCACGCAAGGGAAATTAATTCTCCCTAGCCGCCATCTTGAAAATGGGATAACAATACATATCAAACATGTACAAATCAATGCATAAAACTCGTAAAACTTTATTTTACATGCAAAAGTTAAAAATCGTGACATTTGGTTACTACAATACCGTCATAGTATTATAATATTTTTGTCATTATACTCATTACCACTACTACTATACTACTACTACTACTCTTATCATTAATATTGAGATTGGATTAATTGTTCAATGGTTTTACGCTAATAAACTTTCCATTAATGAAAAGAAAACCAATTTTATGATTTTTACCAAAAAGAAACTAAATAAAGACTCAATAACAATCAAACTAGGTAATGTAAACATTCATAGAGTTTCTTCAGCAAAGTTTTTGGGTGTTATTATTGATGATAAGTTCTCCTGGTCTAATCATATTGGTGTCATCTGCAACAAATTATCTAAAAGTATTGGTGTCATGTACAGATTGAAATCTCTCCCTAAAATTATACTCAAAATGATATACTATGCAATTGTGTACCCTTACTTACATTATGGTATTATTGTATGGGGCAATGCTGCATTAATTTATCAAGATAGACTGTTCAAATTACAAAAACGTGCAATAAGAATTATTAATCATTCTTCTTTTCTTGCCCATACCAATCCAATATTTTACTCATTAAACATGTTGCAATATAGGGATGTATATTTATTACAAGTAGGTGTTTTTATGTATTTATGTCACCACAATCTTATCACTGATTATATTTCCAAATTGTTTATTTTAAACTGTAATGTTCATAGTTATAATACTAGAAATGCTAAACAATTTCACTTGCCATTGACTCGTACAGTACTAAACCAAAAAATAATTATTTTCCAAGGACCCTTTTTATGGAACACTCTTCCCCATTATATTCATAATTCTGTTAGTGTAAATGTTTTTAAACGTAGGTATAAGAAATTTCTTTTAGATAAACTGCAATAATCATTTAAGTTCAAGACATATTTTATTTGTTTGTTGTATGTTTGTTGTCTTGATTTGAGTATAGTATAATGTTTAGTAACGGATATATTTCATATTTTTTTATTATAAAAAAGGGTCAACCTTTATATAAGGATTATTTTTTTCCTTTCAGGTTGCAACCTATTCAGTTTATTTTATGTCCAAATGTCAAATATGTTCTTAATGTGTATTATATGTTATATAGCTGGTTGTTATATGAAATGTTGTCTTTTTAAACTGAATGAAATAAAATTGAATTGAATTGAATTGATATGAATTGAATTGAATAAGTGTTTATACAAAACTTCTACTTTCATTCCCTGTAGATGTGCTCAGTCAAACCCAAATCATCGATTATGTGGAGGACTGTAATCGAGTTCTTGATCCGATCCTTGACCAGTCTAGAAGAGAGACTGTGGTCATCGGACTCGATTGTGAAGGTGTCGGATTAGGTAAGTGAATTAATGCAGGTCATGCATCAGTGATAGTTTGTATTAAATAGCAGTTTGACATGGAAGCAAGTTACACACGATGCGTCATTTTATTGACTGGCTTAAGCCCCTTTCACACCGGGCCATACGTATAGTTGCGTCAGTGAGTGTTGCGTACCAACCACGCCGAGCGTACGCTGTACTACGCTGGCAACGTAACTTTACGCTGATTGACGAGTGGTACGCGAGGTGGACGCAACAAATTTAACATGTTTAACTTTGTTCGCGTTCTTTACGGCGTAGACACTAGACGCAAAGCGTGCGCATTTGCTACGCTAGTCTACACAATACTACGCAACACTACGCTACCGTACGCCATGCCTACGCGATAGTAAGTTACCCTACGCCAATCCGACGAAGCAGTAAAAACGTATAAATCAATTAATGCGTCCTAGATCCTATTTGCGCACACAATAAGCAACCATGTGCAACCATAAGCGTCCCTACATGTACGTACCCGTTACGCCAGGACTACGTAAACGTACGCAACCCTACTCCTGTTATACGCAATCGTATGCGTAGGTAGGCCTACGCCAATTGAATACGCCATAGGTACGCGGTGCGGATGTCAGAGGACACATTGTTCAGTGCACCGCACAGCACCCACCCGGTCGCCTCGAGGACCCCGGCCGGACCCGGGAGCCATGGGGTCCCTAGCTGTTCATCGGACGGAGCCCATAAGCTTACCGGCCGTCACCCGGCCGGAATCCGACCGGAACCCAACCGGCACTCTTACGGGCGCCTTGTATTTTCACTCGACCAATGAAAATCGGAAGGGTCCCGTATGGTCTCTAAAGTCCTACCGCCGGGTAGGGAAAATCGTACGGCGCGGGCACTGTGTATGTGACCTAGGCATTACGTTTGTATAGTAGGCGATATTGTTTGTCTCGGTAATGTATCCATACTTAGGTTTAGCAAGGGTTGCTGTCTAATGTCTTACTCTTAATCACACCAGACCAACACCAGGGGGGGGGGGGGCGATTATAAAAAAATCTTTTGTTTTTTGTGATGCTTGTGGGCTATTCATTAAATCAATTCTAAGCTTAAATTGATTTTGATTAATTTTGAAATCTATTTGTATGGCTTGTTGAAACATCCCCTGAATTCCATATCTCGATATGTTGTGTGCAGGAAGAGCGGGTGGATGCCTGACTCTTGTTCAGATCTCCACGTGGGACGGGAAAGCATTCCTCTTTGACGCCTTCAAGAACCCTCAGCTTCTCAAAGGAAACTCTAGTCTCAAGAAGATACTAGAACATAACAGCATCCTGAAGGTAGACTTGTGTGATTATAAGATTAACAACTTGATTGTTACAATGGAATGATTTGAATTTAGAGAAAAATAGCTGCCCCACAGCATTGCTTAATTTTCAGATAGGCTGTCAGTCCAAAAGCAGTCTTAAAAACAAGACTATTTGCGTCAATGGTAAAACCTAATGTTTTTGAATGTTTATTGATATATTTCCCTCTTTCCTTTAGTATATTGGACATACACTTTATATCCTCATACAATGCAAAGTCTGTAAAAGGTAGACAATTACCATGTTATGCAAGGTTGAAACGGAAAGCATGGGTTATGTGACATCTAACATCTAGCAAAAATGTACCTGCTTTATAGAATAATGTAAATAGTGATAATGCTATTTGCTAATTGTTTTTGTAATACTTAGCCTAAAATTACTAAACCCTTATCATAATTGATGTTCCCTGTATAAAACATAATTTATACTATTTATTGCAGGTTATCCATGATTGTAAAAGTGACGCATACTCCCTGTATCATGGGTTTGGTGTGAAACTCAAGAACGTGTTTGATACGTCGGTAAGCTAACATCTTTGTTATCCGTAAAACTAACTGCATTCATCCATGATGCAATAATTAATTTCGTACATTCAGTCATTTAGACCTGGGGGAGGGTACTCACATATTAGGACATACGGGGTGTGCAGCTCTAATGGGTAACTTTTTCACACTAAAATCCCCCAAAACATGGGTCCCACCATTAACAAAAATACCATTAAAAATGGGTCCGTTTTTTTCTTCAAAATTTGCAACATTTTCGGGTGTTTGCCCTGCAAACACCCGAAAAAAACACTCGAAAATTGTGGAAAATGGGTTTTTTCTCGGGAAAATGCCCCCTAATAATGGGTAGAGGTTTCGAGGCTTGAACTGATTGATATGATCTAAATTTATGTAACGTGCCACTAAATCCACTTTGCAACTCATTGTTATCCAATTTTGGAACTTTAAAAAGTCAATGTGATGTGACAGTATAGCAAATCAAGAAGTGTTAAAAACGTATGTATTTGTTATATTTTCGTCAAGATTGCGATGCGCACAATAATGGAGCAACTGAACAGGAATCGATCCTACCAAGTCGGTTTTAAAGCTCTTTGTGAGCTCCTCGGAGAGGGCGCATCTCACAAAGATGATGATTTTGTGAAGAAGATGCTTGAGACGCCAGATTTCTGGAAGATTCGACCATTAACAGAAGAGATGATCTACTACGCTGCATCTGATGCATTGTGTTTGGTTCCCAGCGTCTACTTGAAAATCAACGGGTATGTTAACATAAAAATTACTTGCTCACTTGGCAAACAAAATGGCATATATTTCCAATCTTATTTGTGACGACTACATGATTTTAGGTCCATAGCCATGGTATTTTCCTCTTTCATAAAACATATGATGTTTGATACGTTCCAGGACGACGTGTTTTGGTTTTCATTTCTAATCTAGACTTTTACCATTCGTTTACAAACTTTTTTTTTTACATTTATTTATTCATCATTTTTATTACATTGCTGCTTTATCGGTACCGTTTCATTATACCATAGAAAAACACAAACGAACATTTGTCTTTTGAAAATCATGCACATTGTTAAAGACTCATCAAATTATACCACCGTTTACTACTCAAATGGCTTACAGACTTAACTGCTTTCCCAAATACAATGTCGGGGATAATGCAATTATGATCTTTATAATGGTACCCTATGCGTATCTTGTAAAAAAGCATAATTGTTACATATATCGTTTAAATATATGATACCACTTTTATTATACCAGTCTTCATAAAATAACATTTTGGTTTTTACGAATAATTTTTCCAATTGCTTTTTGAAGACGGTTCGCAAGCACTGCCGCAATGATATTGTAATCACAATTCAGCAATGTGATCGTTCTCCAATTTCTGAACTCCGAGTGGTTCAAGGTCCCCTTTCTTGTATATCAATGTAATTAGTCCTTTCCTTTGAGTATTCGCCATTTTCCCATTAGCATAAACGCTCGATATTAAAGAGCATCAACTAAAATATCATAGATCTCATTCCAAACACCTGATAGAATTTCGCGGTTATTCCGTCAGAGCCTGGAGTTTTGTTTTTGGTTATTGAGTATACAGCTTGTTTACATTCTTTATGTGTTGTTATTTTAATCGTCAGAAAGAGATGAATTTGTTTTTTTTTAGAGTATACCTTTTGCAGTTTAACATCAATATCTTCTAACTACAAAAATCAATATTTCGTCTTGTTTTTCTAAGCTGAGAAAATATTTCGTACTTCTTTCTCCCTCTTCCATCCATCTTGCCTTAGCTCTGATACCAGCTCCTTTAGATTCTACTTTAAATATATTTCCAGCTCTTCCTTTATGACTCTTTAGTCGTTTTCATTATCATTATTTCCACTTTCGTTATCAATACGTTTTTGTAGCACATTACGCTTCATTTTTAAAAACCCTTTTCTATTCGGTTGATCTCCAACTTTATATTTTTGTGTCAATTCACGTATCTTTATTTGTAAAAGTTCCCATTTCTGTAGGGGGCTCATACATTGAGAATTGATTGAACTAATAACATGATAATAATATTGGATTCTTATATAGCGCACGTATCGACCTTGCAAGGTCCTCAAGGCGCTCCAACATTACCCGGCTATGCTAGGCTGCCGATTTCGACGCTCACAGCATTTTAAGGAATTCCTTCCTACCGGTACCCATTTAACACCTGGGTGGAGAGTGGCAAATGTAGATCAATGTCTAATAACTAATAACATGAAAAATATTTTATTTTATAAATGTAATGCTTCCTGGGAGAAATGTCAATAGTTTGAATATATTTGTGGCTTACACCCAGTAAATAAGATCGATTAATCGATCTGTAATTTAAAAACTGGTTCTCTTTTTTTTTTGGCCTCCTTTAGCACAATTTTTTTTTTTTTTGTTTGTTAACAATTAAACAAAAATTTAGGGGGTTTAACCCCCCCCCCCCCCCTGCGTACACGCCTGGTCACATCTATATCTAGGTGTTCTTCAAATACCAATATTATGACGTCCTCAGTGCAACAACTATCGCAGAAGGAGAATTTGTTCTTAGTGGGTAGATATCTTATGTAGTAACACGTCTAGTGGATATTTGTCCTAGGAGCATTTTCGTATGGTCGGTATGCGAGAGCTTTTAGTTATCAGACACATTTTGAAGAAATATTTTGGATATTTTTTTAAAATAAATATAAAAATCTAGATAATCCATGTTTCAACTTCAGAGGTGGCCCTAAGAAATATGTTACTGTATTTGCATTGTACTGTCTTTGCAGAATGCTGACACCGCTTTGGCAAGACCTGTTCACGTGGTCTTGCAAAGACACCTTGGAAAACATGCAGAGACGCTAACAACAATGAGGTAACCAAGTCATCTGACAGATGACATCAGAAACCAGGCCAACGTCTTTTACAAGCCAACCAAAGTGGAGCTCCCTTTCTTAAAAACCGGAGAATTAACATCGAAGACGACGACAGCGACGACATTTTCTTCTAAATATCATCACGCTCAAAAACGTATTATTTTATATATTTATTTACTACCATTATCATTTATGAAGGGCCTCTTTACAGAGCTGTAAACACTTTTCGTCGCATGATTAGCTTGTTTTGATAGCAGATTGAACTCATTACCAATATTGAGAAAATGGGTATAGCATCATCATCATTGCAGTGTCATGTAGATGTTAATGGTGATGATGGAGATTCACAGCATGTAAATAGTGCCCTATTTGTCTTTTAAGAATGTCAATTTGTTCACACCTCACACGTGACACCGGCATTCTCATCTGCTGAAATAATTGAGTTTTGAGGATTTAATCTATTAAGAATTTAATGTAAATCGAATGGTAAGTCCATATTTATATCATATTTAATTTGATTTTTTTTTTTTTTTTTTTTGGGGGGGGGGGGGAGTCTAGGAATACAATTAATTTTCGAAATTCTAATCATTATTGGCAAATTTGTGCATTTAATTGTAATGATCTTTTTTGAATATGTTTTTAATAATTCCAAGCATCAAATATATGACAAAGGCCTAGTAATTGACCTACAAAATTCCTAATTTGTGTGCGATATATTGTTTTTATTTCCATAACAATATTAAATACACAGATATGGAGAGTAGTACAAGTTCAACTCTCCTTCAATGTCTACAGTTTAAGAAGATAATATTAGCTTATTATATCACTTTACTCTTTAATGGTTGTAATATCAATCGGAGGGATAATCAGGGCAGCCCATGCAATAGTACAGCATTAAGTTATTTTATTATGCCTCCGCTACAAAGTAGCCGGAGGCATTATGTTTTCTGGTTGTCCGTCCGTCCGTACGTCCGTCCGTCCGTACGTCCCGTTCTCGTGATCGCGTTATCTCAAGAACCAAAATTATTGATGGATTCTCTCTAAACTTGGATCATGTATGTATCTTGCAGAGCCAATGAACTGATTAGATTTTGGGGTCACGAGGTCGAAGGTCAAAGGTCACAGGGCTCATTATGTATTCAAAAATAGCTTGTGATCGCAATATCTCAAGAACCGATCAATGGATTCCTGCCAAACTTGGGTCATGTATGTATCTAACAGAGCCAATGGACTGATTAGATTTTGGGGTCACGAGGTCGAAGGTCACAGGGCTCATTATGTCTACAAAAATAGCTCGTGATCGCGTTATCTCAAGAACCGGTCAATGGATTCCTGCCAAACTTGGGTCATGTATGTATCTAACAGAGCCAATGAACTGATTATATTTTGGGGTCACGAGGTCAAAGGTCACAGGGCTCATTATGTATGCTCAAATAGCTTGTGATCGCATTATAATGAGAACCAATAGACAGATTACTATCAAACTCAAGACATGTATATATGTATCTTGCAGAGCCAATTAACTGATTAGATTTTAGGGTCATCAGGTCAAAGGTCATGGGGCTCATTATGTATGACTATAAATAGCTTGTGAATGCATTATTATTAAAACCGACAGATGGATTACAATCAAACTTGAATTTTAAAAATTGCTTCCGTTTTGGTTTGTAAAGTTGCTCTATGGCGGAGGCATCATTTTTGACTGCGCGCAGTCAAAATTCCATCTAGTTCAGTTTATGCCCATGAAGAAACAGCAACAAACTCTCCAAAAGTAATCATCACACGAGCGGATTTCAAATTAGAAACTGGATGGCTGCAACATTAATCCAGTCATTTTTATTGGTACTTCCGCTGTCTCAACGGAATATAAATCATCAGGATAAGAATCCAAGATGCTTTTTAGATTAAAATCACTACAGTTGTATTCAATGTTATAAGGCAAAAGGAATTCAAATAACTTGAATATACCCGAGGTCAGAACAACCGAAGGAAATTATGTCAGTTTCATTATTATGTAGACAGTTCTTTATGGAATGATCTCTTATTATACTGAATACTGTATATTATTGAGACTATTTTAAAAGCGTAAAATATTATTAACTACTACGTCCTTGATTTTTGCCTTTTTCAATACATTTTACAATTTTAATATAATTTCATTTGTTATTAGCTTTACTACATATAACATATCAACAACAAAAATCTGTCTAATTGTAAACAGATAATGTTTGTCTCAATGATAATAGATGTAGATTTTGATAAAACGAGAGAAACTCTCTGTATTAATTATATAATACGCAAAAAAAAATTGGATCTAATTCTGTGTGTCATTTTCCTTAGTATGTATAGGCGTCATATCAATAACATATCGTAGTGCACATATTGTATTCGTATTATTATCTCTCTATGTGACACTGTGGTAGATGTTAATGTCACCGTTTAACTCAATTAAATAAGTGCACTGATTTCAAAATGTTATGAAAGCTCATATTTACGTACCTATCTATTTGTTTATTGTGGATTAAATTCATAATGCATCTTTAAAGAGGAGAAAGATTGAGTAGAAAAGATATCTTTGATGGTACATATATTTATTTAGTCATAGTTATTTATTTGTACAGCCAAAAAGTTGTATATTCAATTATTCATTTGTATTTATTGTATTCACTGTCATTTATTCTCTATGTAATATCTATTCTTTACGCATGTAAAGGTAAGACAAGCAAATTTCCATTTGTCGTTTATTAGCATTACAAACAATAAATTGAACGATAGTCGGAACTATAGAGCGAGCAAAATCGATGCATATGTTGTTTTTATTCATATCGTAGCAGATTGTAAAAAAAATGAGTTAGATATAAAGGTAGCATCGGGAATAGTTTGGATTAAAAATACTATGTCCCATTTGCAGCCAGAAAAAGGTTAAATTCCAACTGCATTTGAAAGACAACACTAATTTAGAACTTCCCTCAAAACGAAAGGGCTTGAAAATGGCTTTTTAGTCGGAAAAAAAACGACCATTAGTTGTCAAATCGACTCAAGTTATTGCAATCAACTGAAGTAACTGTCTGATTTTCAGACCCTTTTACCGAATGGTCGTACGTTTTGTGATGCACAAAGATTCAATCAGTTTAATTTTGGCCATTACAAGTAGTGGGTTATTGATGTAGACAATTGCTCATCTACCTGTTACAGCTCATTTTATGTATGCTTGGACTAGGACAGCTAGAGACAGAAGAGAATGGAAATGTTATGAGCAGGGCTTTGTCCAACGTCTGGGTGAACTATAGCCTGATAGATAGATTATCAAAGAATAAAAGATGTCGGTCAGTCATTCAATAGTGTCTGACAGTGAAGTCTAGAAGGTAAACGGGTTTCCTTGCATAATTTGAATACTAGGACACTGTTAATGTTTAAATTTCACAGATAGGACATACATGACATATTCATAATTCCAGCAAATTTATACTGAATTTGATGTTGGCTCCACAAGGGACATATTATCTTTAATAATTATGATTATTTAGAGGTACCTGCAGAGATAAAACAATATTTTCAAAAAAGACAGGTATTTTATAATGCCAGAAAATAATAATAATAATAATTTATCAATTTATATAGCGCAGCTACTATATAAATATACTCAACTGTTGAGATGAAAGCAAAACTCCTAAGAGTGCTACTTTACAGACACACAATAACTAAACAACTATTCAAAAGCTCCTGAAAATAAGTGAGTCATTAACAAAACTTGAAGAAAACACATTATTTATTGATTGTCTTGTCCATGCGTTAATAAAACAAATTGTTTCATTTTATTTTTATTCCAGCACGGAGACACTTTTTTCAGCCAATGGCTGTTATTCTGCGAGTCCGTGCATGGTTAAAAGCACATAAATAATAAACATAAGAAAATACGATACATATAAAATAACGAATATACATGCAAATAGTGGTACTTTGGTCATGTTACAGGCACCAAAGCCTCTTAAGGTTGTATTGGAAGGAAGAGTGGAAGGAAGTAGACCGGGAGGGAGACCCAGAATCAACTGGGAAGAAAATGCCAAGAACTGGAGTGGACTAAAACTACAAGAGTGCACCAGAATTATAAAAAATACAAATACAAACTATTAGGTCAATAAAGAGAGAAAATATCCTTATGAAGAAGGAGAACCATGAATGGTTCGCGTTTAGGAAGAGATAAGACAGTGAAAGAGGGAATAATCGAGAGGAGGGGAGGAGGAAAGGAGAAGAGAAGATGAATGAGCCGAGTTAAAAGATGGCAAAACTATTTGAATTTGAATTTGAATCTATCAACAAAAACACATCACAATAATGACAGTACATATGAACAATCATACAATGCAAACAATAATACTGATACATGTATACATAAACATAAGAGTAATGTCAATTTGAACAGTAATGGTTTTAAAACGATATTTAGACATGCATCTGCATACTTTTAAATGTACAAAAGATATATACGTAAATATGTGTATTAATTTATTTAGATGGAGTTGTTAATGGGAACTAGAAGTTAGCACAAGTGCTAGTCGAGCCTAGTTCCATTCTTTGGCGAGATTTTTTCTGTTAATTTGTTTATAATAGTCTTATAATATTTCAACAAGCAGTTGGTGATGAACTTCCTCAACAATGTACAGAAAGCAACTAGTTATTCATACCCTTACCAACTTTTGTTATTTAATAAGTACGTGAATAATTCATTTGTCCTGATTTATGTTTCTTGAGAATGTGACATATCAAAGCTTACGTCCAGAAGTAAAGGCCCTAATTCAACCGGTCCAAATTTCTTTCTTGAGTTACGAAGAACAAAACAAAAACATCAAATTTCCAAGGAGTATGATTAGTTCGGTTCTTAACTGTATATCCATCAAAAGGGCTATGAGTTTTTTTTTAAATTTTGAGTAGAGGCAATTTTATAGAATTCTTTGCACTAACTTCTCTGATTATGATGATGTATAAGATTTTGGAATTATCTATTATGCAGATTATTCACGATAATTATAGATTTCACTGAAAATCAAACATATTACATTATTGAACGCTTTTGTGTTTGTTGACGTTCTTAAATATATCCATTGAAATATAAAAATGTTACATAGTACAAAATAATATACACGGTTATTATATTCATATTATATGGCCATGTAATTGCTTTTCAAATTAAATAATGAGGTTTTATTTACAAGTTTTAAATCACTCTATTCCTGGAACACTGGGCAAAGGCAATGGGAATTAATGGGAATTAAAAGATATTGTAAATGTTCACCCCAAGGACCAGAGCTTTGACACATTTATTTGAGATTTTCATTCTCAATAATAACGATAGTGTTGGTTCGGTAGAAGAGAGTTAAAGTAGAAGTCCACCCTGATATAAAATTGTTTTTTATAGAAGCATTAAACATAGAGAAACTTATCAGTACAGGTTTAGAAAAGCGCAACTCGAACAAGGCCAGAAACGTCTATATCCTCGATCAATTATAATATTTGTTTTCAATCTATC